GTATTTGGTTGAGTGAGTGGAAGTCCACCCGATGACAAATGTTATAATTTCATTTCAGTGTGACTGTTTTTATTGGTGTTTCTTAGCACTGGACAGTCTTTTTCTGGTAGATGGTGTTTGTTTTCTAGTTTCATACTGCTTTGTCAGATATTTCTGGTTGTGGTGTGAGGTGCAGCTGAGCAGTAAAGTTTGATTCCTACTTCAGGGATTATTTTTTTATTATGTACTTTAAACAGCATCTTTACAAAATAACAAAGTTCAAATTAAAAACTAAGGTATAAAGTCACAGTCAGCTTACATAAAGAGGCTTTTCTACAGCTTTCCATGTATTTTAGAGTTTGTAGTCATGTTAGTTAACTTACGTTAATGTAGATGAGCCCAAAAGGTTAGTTGGGTTGAATTGGAAATATATGGTAATGAACCATTATACCTTTTTACATTTAATTTTTCCTTTCACAGTGAGAAAGTCAACAAAGGGATTGGCATTGAAAATATCCATTATTTAAATGATGGCCTCTGGCATATGAAGACATATAAGTGAAGCAAAAGAAATGGTGTGACCCCCCAAAGGAATGCACTTAGAGTAAATGGACTGCTTTGTAATTCCTTTTGTTTTTAATGTGACTGAATGTACAAATTTATTTTGTTCAGTGGCTACGCGAAATAAATCAAGTGAATGCTAAAGTCCTGTTAGCGGCAATAGTTTTCTAGGCTCTATTACAGTTCTTAGGCTTTTATCCTAAATCCATGTTGTCAGAATGCTTGAAGATATATCTGATGAAAAGGTCATATGTGAACAGTGAGTAGAACACTTCCTGCGAAGAAGAGAGAAAGCTAACAGTTTAAAATGTTGTGCTCTCTCCTAGCACAGTAATTTAAATTGGATTTAGGATATATTTAATGCTGTTGTATATAAAATTCCTAAAATGTGTTAATGGATTTGCTTTTGATAACAGGAAGTCAAGAAGGATGTTAGTTTCTGACTTTTCAACACACAAACTGGATGTTTCTATGTTCCATATGCTTTGTGTCAAATTCTAATTTAACTTATTGTCCAACAGTAGTGGTCTGAATGTTTTACTCAGCTGAGTGGCCACTTTTTAAGATGCAATTAGTTTTATGGACTATAATATAAACATTGGATTGTGAGACAGATGACATGACCAGGATACGCTATTCAAATGATCAGTTACCACACCATATTTGAGATCAGTTTTTCCCTGCATTGAAAATCTATAACAACAGTGGGGAAACTTTAAATGGCCACCGTGGTAATTGCTAACAGGTTCTGTAACCAGAAGTTAGTATTTCTGGGCCACATTTTAAAAGAAATATCAACTAGGCCTCCATTTGTGCACCCTATCACCTGCACATGTGCTGTTACTACTTATAAATGGGGACTGCATGCATAGACTCCTCAGCATTAAAGTGATTGTGCCTGCAGAAAGAATGTTGTCGTGCGGAAAGATCTGGAATGACCAGAGTAATAACTCTACCTGACTCATTGTTGGAAAGATTTATTAATATTGTAAATCTTTTTATTTGTATTTGCAGTTTTTAATTTTGTATCAAATGGCTTCTGTCTCATTCTGTGTGTTTTGTTTCAACATTTTTGGATACTCTAATTCAAGAACCGTTGACTTAGAGAAATACTCTTCCCTTATCCTAAAGTTTTATTACAACTATGGGATATGAAATGTGTTTTATCTAACAATAGGTAGTGCTAGCTTGAAGATTTCTCCTCTTCACCTAACACTAAGTTAAAAGGTGTCAGTTTTGAAAGTGACAGAATTCTAATGCTCCACCTACTTATTCTAGTAACCAAGGAATGAAAACTAACTTAACCAGTTTGGTAGCTACTACGCTATCATTGTTGAACAAAGAAAGCTATACAGTGCTCACACTTTATTCTAAAACAGTTACATGTCAGTTTTTAAACCTGGTAATAAAACTTCTCTGAACTCACTGTTAACCAGATGTGGGATTACATTACATGCTTTTATTTGTACTACTCAAGTAAATTCAGAATTTTTTCCTTTTATTTTACGAAGCATCTGCCACAATACAGTAAGCTAGGCCTGTCCTGGGAGGGGTTGCACAGGAAATTGATTCTACTTTCCCTTTAACTTTCTTGTTGATGTTAAATGATGAAATACTGTCAACTAAACTTCCCTTGGGTAACAAGGAAAGCTGGTAACAAGAAATGGAAGTGAACGGGTTCCAGTTCACAGAATAGGGGAAGGGAGTAACTTTTCTCTAACAACTTCTAGCTAAGATCTGCATAGTTTTAAAGTTGCTTTCATATAAAGAAAATAGCTCTAACACTGCCTACCTTGTCATTTCTTGGAAAGGAATAGTAACATCAGGGCAGATCCTGATATGGACACACTTATCATTTTAACCTGCTGTAACTATAGATGGGTAAGTTTACATTGATTTAAGAATGTCCAGTCGCAGAGCAAGTTAATGAAAATTACATTTTTTAGTTGAACTGCTGCAGCTTTGAGTGTAGGCCAGGCCTCAGCCAATGCTGCAGTTTTAGCCTATCTGCATCAACAAAGAAAGTGTGAAGAAAATGCCTATTGACCCTCCCCCTGCCAAAAAGACTGTTGGAAACTCAGTAACCTGCTAAAATTGCCCATTCCCTTCTGCTGGGGAAAGAGTGCAGTAAAAATCATAGCCCTTTCCACAAAGAAAATGTTGGAAATGTGGAGGTAGACAAGAGGATCTATAATTGAAAACAGTCTAGTATCAACATTACATGACAACTATAGGTTTCAGAGTAACAGCCGTGTTAGTCTGTATTCGCAAAAAGAAAAGGAGTACTTGTAGCACCTTAGAGACTAACCAATTTATTTGAGCATGAGCTTTTGTGAGCTACAGCTCACTTCATCAGATGTATACGGTATACATCTGATGAAGTGAGCTGTAGCTCACGAAAGCTCATGCTCAAATAAATTGGTTAGTCTCTAAGGTGCTACAAGTACTCCTTTTCTTTTTATGACAACTATAGCTCCTCCTTCCATGTCTCTTGAAACTCAAGGGTGGGGCTGAAGCATTCATACTGCTGTTACTGGGATACTGTGACTTTGGGGGACTGAGGCTGGTGACTTATAGAGACTGTAATGATTTAAAATGTAGTTATTCTCTAAAGAGAGTGTAGTATTCCACATTTATTGCTTCACTGACTTCCAGCTCAGCCCTGCTCCATTTCTAAACTAGCATTTTCTAATAGCCAGGATTGTAAATTCAAGCTGTGCTCTCCCTGGTTCTCACATCAGCCATAACTTCTCTAATTAGAATTTAGTTAATTTTGTGTATGGATTTAAATACGTTTTAGCTCCCTTTCCCCTAACACATGACACTAGATTCCTAACAGGAGTGAAAACTTGTCACCATGTGAACTGGGAATTACACAGCAGGAGATCTGAGTCAGGAGATGCCTATTTTTAGTCTCTTCACTGACCATAAGTGCAGTTCAAAAGCATCTTGAAGATTATTTTATGAATATGGAATTTAGAAAATATATAAGCACTTTCTTTGACTTAATTGAATGGATTATTAAAATTTATTTTTAACTATTTGTACTTAAGCATATTAACACATCCAACTATTTTGAGAATCTCTGTTGTGCATACAATTACATGAACCAGCCAATCCTTAACGTACAAAGCAGATCTCTGGATGCAAAGTACAGTATAAGAGCAAGCCAGGTATTTTAAAAAAAGGACAGCTCACTAGATGAAGTGAATGAAATCTGCCAACAGCTGCATCAGTTTGTTTTAAATATATGTATTTCAAATGTTTAACTTCTACAAGTTTTGGTTGGTTCTTCTATTCGACGTCTGATAACATAAATCCACATTTGATAAAACTACCTTTGGTTGAAGTTTCCTGTACTTTGCCACAGCTTAACAGATTTTAATGTCACAGTAACAACTTTTGAAAAAATGAGTGAGTTAAAGGGATACTCTAACTATAGAAATAGTAAAGAATGAAAAAACCCTTTCATCTTAATTTTTAACTGGTCATTCCCAATTACAAAGCTGCTCCCTATTTGTCTGTACTACACATTTAGTGAAGCTGAGGGTCAGTATCTACCTTTCTGTGACACTTGCAATTGGCTAACTAATACTAGTTTCAGTTGTAAAGGTGAAATTTTAGTACAGCAGCTTCCACAATCATAGGGTTGATATTTTCTCTAAAAACAAACAAAAACACCCACCCTTGTGCTAACCAAGTTATTTCCATGCAAGTAGTGATATATGTAGACCGTTAACTAGTCATCTTGAGGATGGGATGTAAATATATAAAACCAGTGTACATAATGTCTATGTAGTAGTGTATGTAATGTCTACTATGGCATGGAAAGCAGGAAAAGTTTGTGACTAGGATTTAGAGCAAACAATATTTGTTTTAGATGCAGCATTTCAATATTGTCACCTTCAGTGGTTTGAGCCAGAATCCATTAAAGGTACACTGCCATCTTGATTTTTTGAAATTGCTAACTGCTAGAAAATTCTGTTTAATAGACCATGTCCTGAGTTACCATACAAACTTGTTTTACATGAAGATTCCCAGCCCCCACTGATGGTTAGAAGGACCTTTTAGATGGGTCCCAACAGCAATATCAAACATGCTTCATCATATCCTCTGTCTCGATGCCTGTCTCCTGCACCCATCTGTATGCTGCCTCTTACTTTCAGCTTCACTGGTGTTTTTGCAGAAGGTAGTGAAGACAGTGGATATGCTTTTGTCCCTGAACTGTGCAGAGTGCTAGCAAGTGTACAAAGTAAAACAGAGGAAATGCATGTTTTTCTCATAGACGTTAATGCTGCTTAGTCAATCAGTAGGTACAGCAGCCTTCAGCAGGTTATGAAGTTGATTAGGTTTCTTCATATTAATGCTGCTACCTTTTCCTGAAAGTGTGAAAATTCAGGCCACTGACATTTCTATTCTAGATTACAACAAACTGAAAAAAATTGCTCTATGCACGAGGGTAAAGAAAACTGCTTAAAGTTGTACTTTAATACTAAATCTGTATTTTCACTTTTATTTGTACATCTTAGAAAGATAAAGATTTTCAAGAAGTGCATGGAAGAGTTCAAAATCAAAAAATCTTGCAAAAATATATTTAAATTACAATAGATTAAGATTCATTTGTTTTCACTTATAAATATTTAGCCATACAAACATCCCTATAAATTCATTTCCTTTATCACAGATTTTAGCATTACCGTTAACATTTTTCATTCCAACACAGTCAAGCGCCAGAAACGTTTTTGTATAAAAGTTTTAGAAAAAAAGATTCCCCCTTTTAAAACTAAAATGACCAAACCCTGATGTGCAAAAAATACACAGAAACCATCAAATACAAAAATTGCACCAGCTTGTATACATGCAAGTCACATTATGCATTAACAGCTGACTGCATGTTCTACACAATACATATGCCTTCTTTGAACAGATATCAGTCATTCTCTGAACCTGCGGGAGGTAAGAAAACCAGAGCATCTTTGAAATTGTGCCCATATGCTCTGAGCCTATAAACACCATACATCATTACATGCATGTGGTTAGAAGCCAGTCCACTGAAAGTGATGGCCATGTCAGAACAGCATCCCTCTACTACTTTTTGAGGGTGATTAGCCATTGCTTCTTTAATAAGAGAACCAACTGATTTGGTGTTAAAGACATCTTTTCCTTCAGAATCTTCTGCATTTTCAGCTAATACTCCAGTATATTTCAGGCAGACTGCTAGTTGTTTATCCTCAGAGAGTTTCCAGATCAAGCCTCCCTGTTCTGGACACTTATCAGAGTCTTCAAAAACTTGACAGAGTCTTTTTAGGGACTCTATACTTAAGACAATTCCTCCATCACCATCCACATACTCAAGCTCTCCTGATTTTACAGTATGACCTATATAAAAAGGCTGCGATGCGTCTTTTTTAAGCAAGAAATATTTGAGATTTTCTATAACAGCAAATGTAGTTGGATGTGCTAGAAAGAACCAGTTGTACTCATCTTTATAGCGTTCATATGCTAATTTATAAGCTTTTCTCATCATCACCCACATGTCATTTGTGTTGAGAACAATAGAATCAAACACCTTAACGCTTTCAGAACTGTAGAATTCTGCCTTGTCACAGTGTTTGCTCCATGTTTCTTTCACAGCAGCCCAATTTCCAAGATCTTTAGGTTTTACAAGGATGATACAATAAACACGGATACTATGGCTGAGCTCCATGCGCTCACCTTCTGACAAATTTGAGACATCTTCCTTGTTAGGTGCTTGAATATGATGATGCTCATGGTGATGTGTTTTAGTCCCATGGCCCATTTTAATATGTCCTACGAGTGTAACAAACACACAGAAGAGTCCTCCTAACATCATACCTTTCACAAAAGAACTGCTTTCAGAAACCATTTTTTCCTAGAAAGAAAAAACACCTTTTGAGAGGTTATGGAAATAATTATTTGTAAAGATTCAATTTTATCTCAACATAATTTTTTTCTGTTCATAGTTTAAAAGAAGTTCCTAAATTTTAAATTGCAATTATAGTTCCTTTAACTTTCTTCTGTAGTTTAAATTGTTAAGCCACTGTACATTGTCATGAGAGGAGCAGCAAGAATTATAATGCTTTTACCAATCCTAATTATTATGGTAAAGTTACAGGATAAAGATGTTTCCATATTAATTCTGTAAAAGTATTCCCACAAGGTCTTTATCCTCAGAAATCTGTGTTCAATTTCTTGTCTGTGCACTGGATGGAACAGCTTACCTTTACTCTAACAAAGGAAGTGGAAACTGGCAGTTGTTATCAGAATGAGTACTAGCTGCCTATGCCCCATGGGCTCAAAATTTTGGAGACCTAAGGAAGCTCCAGCCTGTCTCATGCCAGGGAGCTGAGAACCCTAGCATAGAAATCCAGGTATCTTCAGAGAAGCAGAGTTGCAGGTAAGTAATCATTGCTGCGACAGGCAGCTGTCAGCCGAAACATCAGTCAAAAGAACTTCTTGTCAACTCTTTGAAATGGGCCATCCTGATTATCACTACAAAAGTTTTTTTTCCTCCTGCTGATAATAGCGCACCTTAATTGATTAGTCTAGTTACAGTTGGTATACCACCACCCATTTTTTCATGTTCTCTGTATACATCTTCCTACTGTATTTTCCACTGCATGCATCTGATGAAGTGGGTTTTAGCCCACAAAAGCTTATGCCCAAATAAATTTGTTAGTCTCTAAGGTGCCACAAGTACACCTCGTTCTTTTTGCTGATACAGACTAACACGGCTACCTCTCTGAAACCTGGTTTTCACTGTAATTCAATCCAAAACTTTAATCAAGTAAAGCTATTTTGAAGGACAAAGCCTTGCCATACCAAGTATGATTCACAATCCTGCTTCTCCTCTCATCCCACACAGACTGACTGCGTTTCCTTGGCTGGGGAATTTATCACTGGAGATCAGGCTAAACTTGAGTCTTGCCATATGTATAGTAAGGTGCATGCTCTTTCTGTGGGCTCTCTCCTTAACAACTAAACTGCAGAATGGTCTCAGCTGTCCGTCCTGGGAAACAATAATCTGGATTATTTCCTAATCAGATCTATTAATTGAGCTGTGGGAAAGGGTTTGAGAGTTTAGTGCCTTTATACAGAAGACCAGCATAGCGGTCCTTGTAACAGGGCAGTGGGTGCACAGATACATTTCAATTAATCTGTTACAGAGTTTGGGCCTTTAAAACTGGGAGTTACAGGTGGAGGTGTTAAGAGTAGGAGAAAGCATATAACCTACAGAAAGGTAAGTACTGTATAAGGTTTCCTTCCTTTTAGGTAAGGGCAGCAAAGTCAGGGGAGTGCTAGTGTGGGTCTCCCCATAGTAGGCAGGAAAGTGCTACCTAGCATAGAAGCACAAATCATTCCCTTTCCAAGGTGTGGGCAGCAGGAACAGTCACTATTATTTAGTGTTGTGCACTATTTTGAGTCTTCAATTTATTAACAACCTTGTCCTACGAAAGGGCACAGGAACAAAGCGGATCTCTTGGGCTTTACTTGGCCTGTCTGAGCTGGAGCATGACACTCTCTTCTAATGACAGTAACTGCTGAGACAGGTGTGACTGCTGCACAAACATGGTATGTGGAAGGAAGAGAGACTTAAGCAGAAGGCAAGTGGTTTAGGGGCAGGTCCCTAGGAGCATGAGGGATGTTTACTCTTGTTAGCACCTGATATAGGATGACCAGACAGCTAGTAAGAAAAATCAGGGGGGGGACGGGATGTAGGGGAAGAACAGGTATATAAGACAAAGCCCAGAATATCGGGACTGTCCCTATAAAATCGGGACATCTGGTTACCCTAATCTGTTCTCCCGAGGCAGGGGTAATGGGAAAGGAAAGGAGAATCATCTATGTTCTGAAAAAGGAGGGTGAGGCCCACCAAAGCAGCCAACTGGAAGGGGAGGTTATTCCCCTCACCCTAGGGTGGGCGGTGAGGACCACCCGTCGGAACAGGGGGGGCGAGGCGGTTATGCCCCTCTCTCGGGGGAGGGGGGGCGCCAGAGGAGACCGTCGAAATGGGGGTGGGGTGGGCGATTATGCCCCTCTCCCACGGTGGGGGGCGCCAGAGGAGCCCGTCGGAACGGGGGAGGGCGGTTATGCCCCTCTCCCAAGGTGGGGGGCGCAGAGGAGCCCGTCGGAACGGGGGGGGGAGGGCGGTTGTGCCCCTCTCCGGGGGGGGGGAGGGGGCGCCAGAGGAGCCCGTCGGAACGGGGGGAGGGGTGGGCGGTTGTGCCCCCTCCCGGGGGGGGGCGCCAGAGGAGCCCGTTGGAACGGGGGAGGGCGGTTGGCCCCCCCCGGGGGGGGGGCGCCAGAGGAGCCCGTCGGAACGGGGGAGGGCGGTTGTGCCCCTCTCCCGGGGGGGGGGAGGGGGCGCCAGAGGAGCCCGTCGGAACGGGGGAGGGGGTGGGCGGTTGTGCCCCTCTCCCGGGGGGGGGGGGCAGAGGAGCGTTGGAACGGGGAGGGCGGTTGTGCCCCTCTCCCGGGGGGGGGGGCCAGAGGAGCCCGTCGGAACGGGGAGGGCGGTTGTGCCCCTCTCCCGGGGGGGGGGAGGGGGCGCCAGAGGAGCCCGTCGGAACGGGGGAGGGGGTGGGCGGTTGTGCCCCTCTCCCGGGGGGGGGGAGGGGGCGCCAGAGGAGCCCGTTGGAACGGGGGGGTTGTGGGAGGTTATGCCCCTCTCCCGGGGGGAGCGCCAGAGGAGCCCGTTGGAACGGGGGGTACTTTCTTGGCGCCTGGCGGGAGTCTCCCCTGTGCCCGTGCTGGGAAATTCCCGCCCCGCACTCACCGGTGCGGCCGAGCGGACGGGACCACCGGCCCAGCGAGGACGAGCTCGAGCTCCACCCCCACCCGGAGACGAAGGCGGAATTACTACTTCCTCTTCCGGCAGGCAGGGCGCGAGAGCCGCACGCAGCCCTTCCGGCCCCGGCCCCTCGCTGGTTCGCAGGGCTCCGGGCGTTCTAGGGCGGAGAGGCCGGAGCTGACGTTGGAGCCAGAGCGGCTAGGCGAGGGGGCGGGGACACATATCCCTCTCTTCCCGCCCACCGACCGCCCTCCCCCCCCCCACAGCCCTTCTCCCCATCCGTCCACCCAGCCTTTCCCCCCACAGCCCTTTTCCCCATCCCCCCGCCTTTCCCCCCACCCTTCTCCCCCCCACAGCCCTTCTCCCCACCCCCCCATTCTTCCCTCCCCACAGCCCTTCCCGCACCCACAACCCTTCATCCTTCCCCCACCCACAGCCCTTCTCCCCATCCTTCCCCCGCCCAAAGCCCTTCTCCCCATCCCCCCACCCAACCCAGCCTTTCTTCCCATCCTTCCCCCACCCACAGCCCTTCCCCCCATCCCTCCCACCCTTCCCCCCCGCCTTTCCCCCCACCCACAGCCCTTCTCCCCCCCCCCCCATTCTTCCCTCCCCACAGCCCTTCCCGCACCCACAACCCTTCTCCCCGTCCCCCCACCCAGCCTTTCCCCCTATCCTTCCCCCACCCACAGCCCTTCTCCCCATCCCCCCACCCAGCCTTTCTTCCCATCCTTCCCCCACCCACAGCCCTTCTCCCCATCCCCCCCACGCTTCTCCCCCGCACAGCCCTTCCCCCCAGCCTTTCCCCCACCCTTCCCCCACCCACAGCCCTTCTCCCCTATCCTTCCCCCACCCACACCCCTTCTCCCCATCCTCCCCCCCAGCCTTTCCCCCCCCTTCCCCCTCGCACAGCCCTTCTCCCCATCCCCCCCCACCCAGCCTTTCCTCCATCCTTCCCCTCTGCACAGCCCTTCCCCCCAGCAACACGGCCCCTCCTGCTCACCGACCGTCACTCCCCCACACAGCCCTTCCCCCCATCCTCCCATCTCCTCGATCCTTCTCCCACCCACAGCCCTTCTCCCCATCCCCCACCCAGCCTTTCCCCCCATCCTTCCCCCTCGCACAGCCCTTCCCCCCCTAGCAACACGGCCCCTCCTGCCCACCGACCGTCCCTGCCCCCCGCATAGTCCTTCCCCCCACCCCCAGACAGCCGTTCCCCCCTATCCTCCCATCCCCCACAGCCCTTCTTCCCAATCCCCCCACCCTGCCGCAGTGCAACTTCAATTATATACCACCCACATATATCATTTGCCTCACATATATGAGAACTGCTCCTCCATAACACATAAAACCACCACACATATCACATACACACACAAAGATGCCTCAGGTTAAAGTTAAGTATGTGCTTAAGTGCCTTGCTGAAGTGGGGGCCTCAGAGCACAAGCATAAGGTAAGAGAGAATCTCATCCTGCTGGTAACACAATAGGGCAAATTATACCCCATTTGAGTAATTCTCGTGCTGTCCACTGTTGAGCAGCTGTAAACATACACACAAGACAAAACATGCCACCACTAGGTTAGCTTGAAGAGGTGCTATTGAGTTTTTCTGTTCCAGAAGGCAGAGTTTGGGCAAAGTCAATGACCTTTTGGTAAAATGAGGTCATTAGAGTAGGGGGTCTTTCTGTAGCTCCATGTAACATGCAGGAGAATGTAAAATAGAGAAGGGACTGAATGATAAGAAAATGATTTACATTTTTCTGTTCCGCCCCCTCCCCCTGTTTTTGGACATATAAATATTAGAATTTGTCTCTCCTTGGTTATTGTATAGTATCAGTGACAGAGGTCAGTGGATTGGGCATCTCACCCCCCCTGCTGCCCCCCCCTCCCAGTAATAGAAATGAGATGTGGGACCTGTGCCTACAATGATGATAGCAATGATGATAATTTATAAAGGAAAAAAATCTGTCTGTTCTGTCTAACTGATAATGGACAGATAAGAGAACAAAGTCCATCTTACATTTATTTTAGGAATAGGAACATAATGAGGTAATATGGCTAGACTCAACCTCACCACAACTGTTCCTAGGAGTAGGCAAGTATACTGCCACATAAGATTCATAGAAGTAAGTTTTCCAGACTTGGGGCAAGTAAATATAATTATAGAAAGGATTAGATTGCCTCCGTGTCTTTGTATATCTGCAAAGGGAAAACGTACGCCTTGTTCGTAAAATGTGGCCAAACATTGCTTATTCACTTGTAGCAAAAATTACCTCTTCTTTTCTCTGAAGTTTGTAGCCACAAAGGAACTTACTTGGTCCTGAGGGAGTTTATGATAAATGGTGGGGAAATGTAGAGGAAAATAAGAAGAGAAAGTCTGCCATCTTGTGGTATAGTGTCTCTTATTTTTTTCTCTGCTGAATTTACAGATCAGTGGTGAAGTAAATGTAGATTGGTCCAGGCGTTATATTTTATGAGAGAGGAGTCAGGGTCTGTGGTGGTAGGAATGGCTATGCAACTGCTGTGAAAGAATTGTACTATGTAGTACAGGATGCTTACTGTCCATTTTGTTAGTTATTGCCCTTCTTCATCTTTCTTTTTGAGTGTATTTATGTGACTAGTTTAATTTCCCAGCATTGCTCCCTTGTTTTAAAACAAGCTAGTTAATGAAAGGAATACAGGACAGCAAACGAAAGGTAAAGAAGACAGAACCAGTTTTAGACCATGTCCAGGATAAAGTCCTATACGAATAAACACTATCAAGCCTGAGTAATATCATATCATTTAATTTCAGAATAGCAGCCATGTTAGTCTGTATCTGCAAAAAGAACAAGAGTGCTTGTGGGACCTTAGAGTAACAAATTTATTAGAGCATAAGCTTTCGTGAGCCACAGCTCACTTCATCAGATGCATAGAATGGAACATATAGTAAGATATATAGATATAGATATATATACACATACAGATAAGTTGGAAGTTACCATACAAACTATCAGGTTTCAAAAAGAAAAGGAGTACTTGTGGCACCTTAAAGACATGCAGGTCCCCACATCTGTACCCTAGAGTTCAGAGTGGAGAAGGAACCTTAAGTGATCACTCTCGTTACAGTGTGTATGGTAACACCCATTGTTTCATGTTCTCTATGTATATAAATCTCCCCACTGTATTTTCCACCGAATGCATCCGATGAAGTGAGCTGTAGCTCACGAAAGCTTATGCTCAAATAAATTTGTTAGTCTCTAAGGTGCCACAAGTACTCCTTTTCTTCATACAAACTGTGAGAGGCTAATTAGTTAAGATGAGCTATTCTCAGCAGGAGAAAAAAACTTTTGTAGTGATAATCAAGATGGCCCATTTAAACAGTTGACAAGAAGGTGTGAGGATACTTAACTTAAGGAAATAGATTCAATATGTGTGACCCAGCCACTCCCAATCTCTATTCAAACCCAAGTTAATGGTATCTAGTTTGCATATTAATTGAAGTTCAGCAGTTTCTCACTGGAGTCTATTTTTGAAGCTTTTCTGTTGCAAAATTGCCACCCTTAAATCTTTTACTGAGTGACCACAGAGGTTGAAGTGTTCTCCTACCGGTTTTAGAATATTATGATTCCTGATGTCAGATTTGTGTCCATTTATTCTTTTGCATAGAGACTGTCAGATTTGGCCAATATACATGGCAGAGAGGCAGGAATCAGCACCATGTACTGTGTTAAGAGGAGATTTGATCTCCCGTAGTATAATTCATCGGCTGGCTTTCTGCATCACAATGTGACACAACAGGAAAAAAAGCAAGTCAATCTTTAAACAGCAAATAAAACCTCATTATTAATGAAAATACTTTGCATACAGAGGAACTTTCCTTTAGTAATGACAGGTTTCAGAGTAACAGCCGTGTTAGTCTGTATTCGCAAAAAGAAAAGTACTTGTGGCACCTTAGAGACTAACCAATTTATTAGTCTCTAAGGTGCCACAAGTACTCCTTTTCTTTTTCCTTTAGTGATACTTATTATTCTTTCTTGTGCTATGAAAGAAGAATCCTCAGCAGATTGGTAAATGGATAATAAATAGATTTTCCAGAGCCACTTCACACAGGCCTCCTAAGTATTCTAAATTGGCCTTGGTTTGAGTTGAATGTGCATCAGTATGCAGGACTGATTCACTCCCATTTTTCTTGTGGCCTTGCACAAACTGTGCTATAATAATTGGAACACTATACAAAAAATGGCCAGTCTAGCTATGGCCTAACTCATAGTTTGGAAAGCAAAGTCCTTTGGGAAAAAAATCCCTATTCACCCTGGACAGGAAGATTGTGCTAGAACTCTCCTACTGACAACTGTATTTAAATATAGTTATTACTCGCATAATTCCTATGATAATGTAGATACCCCCTAGAATTTCTTTTAAAATCAAGGGAAGAAAAGCAGGAGATAAGTGTGGAATAAGCAAAACATTTGTAAATTGAAGGCTTTAGATAACATCTCAGTTCTTCTATAGTTTAGTTTATAAGGTCTCCTCTAACCTGCCAGAATTTAAATAGCTATTTTATTGCTAATAAAACAGATTTCTTTGTGCCCGTTCGACTATTGCTTGGTGTGTGCTTTATGGGGTTTGAGTCCACTTCAGAGACACTTCTTGCTCTGCTGTGAGTGGGGGTTAATTCACTTGATCAAGATGAATGACCTAAATGACTAAACCTACATCTGCATCAATTGATCTTGTTCAAAACACCCACATGTCTCGTCCAAAAAGGAAGCTGGAAAAGGAGTCCATGGGGACAGTGCAAGGAAGCGAAAGAGCAATAGGAAACCAAATAAAGAACACTTGAAGGTTTATCTAGACGAACAACTAGTGTGCAGCAAGCTGGGATGTAAATGTACCGCTCATTAGCCTGTCGCATGCTGACTGTCTGCGTAGCCTCTGCTACCATGCACTAAAATTGCACTGTGTGTGGTAGTGGTGTCCACAAGGACCTTTAGTGTGACACACTACTGTGTTGTAGATTTACACCCCAGCTTGCTGGTCACTAACTGCTTATCTAGATAAGCCTTAACTGTTTGAGTCAGTGTAGTTATTCTGGATTTTACACCAACGTAAGATCAGGATATGGCCCACAAAGCACAACTGAAAGGTGAGG